CCACACCGTGTTACCTGCACAGTACATCCAGTATTGAAATCCCAGTATTAATATACCCCACACCGTGTTACCTGCACAGTACATCCAGTATTGAAATCCCAGTATTAATATACCCCACACCGTGTTACCTGCACAGTACATCCAGTATTGAAATCCCAGTATTAATATACCCCACACCGTGTTACCTGCACAGTACATCCAGTATTGATATCCCAGTATTAATATACCCCACACCGTGTTACCTGCACAGTACATCCAGTATTGAAATCCCAGTATTAATATACCCCACACCGTGTTACCTGCACAGTACATCCAGTATTGAAATCCCAGTATTAATATACCCCACACCGTGTTACCTGCACAGTACATCCAGTATTGAAATCCCAGTATTAATATACCCCACACCGTGTTACCTGCACAGTACATCCAGTATTGAAATCCCAGTATTAATATACCCCACACCGTGTTACCTGCACAGTACATCCAGTATTGATATCCCAGTATTAATATACCCCACACCGTGTTACCTGCACAGTACATCCAGTATTGATATCCCAGTATTAATATACCCCACACCGTGTTACCTGCACAGTACATCCAGTATTGAAATCCCAGTATTAATATACCCCACACCGTGTTACCTGCACAGTACATCCAGTATTGATATCCCAGTATTAATATACCCCACACCGTGTTACCTGCACAGTACATCCAGTATTGAAATCCCAGTATTAATATACCCCACACCGTGTTACCTGCACAGTACATCCAGTATTGAAATCCCAGTATTAATATACCCCACACCGTGTTACCTGCACAGTACATCCAGTATTGAAATCCCAGTATTAATATACCTCACACCGTGTTACCTGCACAGTACATCCAGTATTGAAATCCCAGTATTAACATACCCCACACCGTGTTACCTGCACAGTACATCCAGTATTGAAATCCCAGTATTAATATACCCCCACACCGTGTTAGATAAGAAAACATAAAAAGAATTCTGTAACTAATTCCTGCAGGTCCTGCAGTAATCCTTGGACCCATTCCTCCCAGATGGGAGTCCTCAATCGGCATCAGCAGCAGCATTATTAATCTGTTACAGAGTTTTCTTGTTATCTTGATTTTAACATACAATTTACCCGGTGGGGAGTTTAACCTGCTTTGTCCTCCTTCTGATTACCTGCAATAGGGAGGTGTTAGCCTGATTGACACTACATCTATCTCACCCAGGGCCTGGTTATTTTAGGCTCTTGCTAACGTAAGCAAGATATCTTGGTTTTACCATAAACCCCTTATTTCATCTCAATATACTACACTAGGCTGACATTCTCTTTTCCTTTGGAGGTCAGATTGAGTCACTATAGGTGGAATGCAGAGACCTACATGATTAGCGCCTGCCCGTTTGTAGTGAGTGGGAGTACTTACTGTTCACTGAGTCACAGCTTGTTTATATTGTGTTATTTTGTGTTACACTTTGTTTCTATTTTTTCTTTTGCATGGTACCACACAAATCCCTACGTTTAAAAGAGGACTAAGTTCTATATTGCACGCCACTTACACTATTATCACAAGATATTTAGCTGGCTGTTTTTATTTGGTTTTGTGGATCACATGAAGATTACCCACACTTAAATATATTTAACGGTCAAAACACACTTTTAAAATACATTTTAATTTATTCCAATATCTGGAATTCTCCTGGTGGTCCAGTAAGCAGAGTTAGACATGAAACCTTTGGTCCAGCTGACCGAATATTGCTATTTGGATATAACCACCCAGCAGCGGGGGATATAAAGATCAGAGCCTGGTAAATAGTGACATTAGGGTAACAGATAGCATATTAGGCCACGTGACCTGACTGGTGGTTCAGCCATTAATCTGCCAGCACATGGATTATTTTCACACTGGCGCTATCAACCGTCCAGAGACTTGTCTGTCTGTCCTGGTCGCAGTGCCTCACCTTTGGCTGGGATTCCTATAATTTTCACTACTTGTGGCCGATGCCCCATCAGCTCAGATTGCCGGGAGGATTTGCCCTCTTTGGAACATGTTAATGGGATCGTCTATCAAAAGTGCTGATTGCCATGCTTTCTTAATCGCTGCTAATTGGCAGTCCACCTAATGACTCAAAGCTGCATGTGTAATTGCCATTTAGTAATTTTCACATTTCTATTATTTTGTTCATCACATACTATATATCGTTTTTAAAAAGGGACAAACCCTGGAACATAAGTGGTGTTGACCCTGTCTTGGTGGCTCCGTTTGACTGTCTGTATAGGTTTGCGACAGTCTGTATATTCGAGATAAGTGGTTGACCCTCTCTCTCTTGCATTGACGGACAGAATAAGACCGACCCTCCGCATTCCAGAGCAGGAAATTTCATTATACAATGAATAGACCCAAACCAGGTGCAGGGAACATCGCCGAGCCTTCATCTGCTTCCTCTACAATAGGTTGGCAAACAAGCAGAGGAGATGGCCAGATAGACCGTGTTTACTGATCATTCATCTGCCACACAAGCCTCTGTTCTCCTGCAGGTGTCAGACAGCCAGGCATCTACATGTTTGCAAATGCTTCATCCTCACTGAAATAGGAAATGGCATATTTATGGCCTGTGTTAGGGGAATTCAGGAGAACACGAATGCCTTCTGTTAGAAAGAATGGACGCAATGAATGGCGAAATCACCCACAAAACCTGAACAAATGGCTCAGACATCAGTCTCCAGTAATAAAAGATCTCCAAATATCGTCCAGAGCAGCACAGTGCATGACATTTCTCCCACTCCCATCACACAAAGCCTGTTTCTGCTGACTGAGGGAAAACAGCAAAAAATGAATGTTGTAATGGTGCGCCCATTTAAAGACTTTGCATAATATTTAGAGGTGCAGCAATCGCTTCCTGTGTTTCCACATTTGTCCACACAGCATCAGACTCGATATTATCCGTAGGAAGTAAAGTCTAATCCCAGCAGCTACAAATCAGCATGTGAATGCAGTACTATGAAATATGCTCATAATTTATAACCAACAATAAAATAAAGACAAAACAATTTGCGTCTATGTGAATCTGGAAAATGGAAAAGATTTTTTTATTTTGATTAAGTTAATATTTAAAGTCTCTCCACTATTTTCTCATCATCCTCTGCAGGACATCATTCTCTGCAGATATCTAAAATATCTCAGAACAGCCTACCCCTGGCACACCCCTAAAATGAAGGTGTCCCTCTCTTTACATTTGAAATGTCGGGAAGCATGCAGCTATATTAAAGGATCACTAAAGTGTCAGGAAAACAAACTTGTCTTCCTGACACTATTTAACCCTTTAGGTCCCCCCCCCCCCACACCCTCAGGGTCCCCCTCTCTTGGCGCTGGAGGTCAGCCACTTACCCTTACCCAGCGCCGTGCTCCCTCTGCGCTGGTGAACTCTCCTCCCCGCCGCCCACAGCTCCCAAGTGGAGTGGAATGCGCATGCACGGCAAGAGCCGCGAGCACATTCAAATAGTCCATAGGAAAGCATTTCTCAATGCTTTCCTATGGACGTTCTGCACGCTGGATGCAAATTTCGCATCCAGCGTCGCAGAAGTGCCTCTAGCAGCTGTCAGGAAAACAGCCAATAGAGGCTGGATTAACCCTGCAATGTAAACATAGCAGTTTCTCTGGAATAGCCATGTTTACATCTGAAGGATTAAAACCTGGGGGACCTGGCACCCAGACCACTTCATTGAGCTGAAGTGTTCTAGATGACTATAGTGGTCCTTTAACCCTTTGTTGCACTGCATTAAAACCCCATCCCCAAAACAATAAAGCATGCTGAATTAAAGTGTCACTAATGATAGAACCGGTGCTGTTATATTACAGGGGGCACAGGATAACAATGACATGGCGCTAAAGTTAGACCAGTCCTCCCATCCACATTATGGCCTCCGGTGTTTAAAGAGAGAGCTTTTCTTCAAAAATATAAACTAACCCCCATTCACACAGAATAAACAGGGGACGGGAGGACTATGTGACCGGTTTAGAGGGTGCATCACTGGTACACACCCCCGTGCGTTCCTATGATAATCACATGGTATTTGCTTGTTAAATGTTAGACTATAAACATGCATAATGTGACATAAAATGCTCATCTTATGTCACATTTCACTGTTGTGTTAGTAACTTATCATGTAACTGTTCCAGTATAATGAGCAATGGTGGATCAATCACCATGGAGACCAATAGAAATTAACATATGGGGCGGAGTTTGGCCACCATCTTGAATGGCCACCATCTAGGGAAGCTCCTGAGACACTGGGAACATTTTGTCCTGAAAATATAGTTCATAATCCTAATGCAGTAATTTTATGTGCAGAAATACTTTTGAGAAGACTTCATCATCACGCAGAAACAAAAACAGCAAGAAAAATCTGTTCCTGCGAGCAGAAAAAACGACAAACTGACGGTGGGGGTGAGTAAGGGCCTATATGCTCACTCCCCCTCTCACACTGCATCACCGTGGCTTATTTCGCCACAAAAATCGACATTGGCGGCAGTGGGTAAATCCCATCTTACCTCCCACATGTTGGCACATACTCACTCACATGCGAGTGTGGCCGTGACCCGCTCGCAGCCCTCAGTAAGCGGCGGGATCGCAGCCGCAAATGCCACGAGCACAGAGGAGGGGCTCGGAGCGAGGTGAATTAGCTCCCGCGAGCGGCGCAAGGAGTGCGCCCGGTCGCTCGTGGCTTATTGGCAAAGCAGTCCGGTTCCTAACTTATAAAGGTGACCGGGCTGAGGATGAGGGGGCGGGCGGCGGGAGATCCCGCTACCCGTCATGGTCCTCGGCCTTACGGCAGCTGGACATGGTGGGGGGGGACTCTGCTGCTCGTTCCCCCCATTTCTCAGAGATGGAAGGGGCCACAGGAAGCCCTTAAGAATGTGAAATGGAAGAATCTTTTTACATAATAGTGCAAACCCCTTTACAACAAAGGATTAGCAAATTGTCCACAACCAAGATGGATGCTAATACTGAATCAGTTATTGACTCAACCAAGATGGCCACCACGTTTACTTCTGATACCACTGCCACATCCCAGATGGCCGATGCCACATCCAAGATGGCCTCAGGATTTAAAACGATGACATATAAGCCTACAATGCCACTTGAAATGGCAGAAGATTTACCACCATCTGCAGCTATGCTTATACAACTCATTCAGAATTTAAGAGTGGACTTAAAAAATGTTTTTAAGAAGGATTTTGATGCTATGTACGGAGCCATGGAAGTTATTGGCCAACGCACGGAGGACATAGAACAAAGACTGCATGTTCAGGAGACACCCCACTTTGATTTGGTTAACACAGTGAAAGATCTTCAGAAACAAGTTAACCAACAAGCCGAAAAAATGGCGGATGCTGAAGACAGAAGTAGGCGCAATAACTTGAGGATCAGGGGGATCCTCAACCACATGCGCTATCTCTCTCAACTCCAAAGCATGCACACAAGAGGAGCAAAGGAGATGACACTTGAGAAACAGACCACTTTTATTTCATTTCTTTACAACTCAAGTTTTGACGCTGTCGACTTTGGATTACCACTAAGTTACAAACTGCAAGATTTTCTGCTTCAGATTTTTGCTAGAATTGATTTGGCATTTGTTGTTTCTTTTTCCTTTTATTATTCGCACCTTACATTGAACTTTAAAATGTCCACTGTCTGTAAGGCATTTTGCTGATTCCTGCTCCAGTCCTGAGATACGTAAAGTTTCCTGAATAAGCTGTTTTGTTGTTACATTAATATAACAACCTTTTATAGTAGGCAATTGTTGCTATTGTTATGGTTTCTCCCAGGACTTTTATTGATGCTCGACTAACATTTCAGGACTGGAAGAGCTGTTCTCTCTTTTTCGTTATTTTCTGCTTTTATGTTTTTCTTAGTTTTTCTTGTTTTCTATTATTATTGCTTGCATTAGTTCCCTTGCCCCAGGTAGTCTTCTCTCCCCCCAACCTGGGCCTAATACCCTGAGATGGAGAATTTTTTTTATTCTCCCTCATGGCCCTTTTTTTAAATAAGGTTTTTTTCTTTCCCTGGATAGGGGAATTTATCCAAGTTTTTTATTCCCCATTTTTTATTTTTATTTTTCATTTCATCCATTTTACTATGCAATATAAGCAATATGATAAGTTACAATGGTATGTTTCAAATGTTTTAGCACGTTTATTTTTGTCTAAACAAATGTATTTTTCATTAAGATTGTTGGATTTTATAACACTTCTCTTGGGGCGCAGACCTTCAGGTTCTCACATTGTCGTTCATTTTCTCTTAATTCATTGTCACCTTGCCAAAACCAGGAAAAACTCCCGACAGATGCTCTAACTTTAGGCCCATATCAAATCTCTGATTAAAGCCATGATTATTAAATTTATGTCATTTAATGTGAGGGGCCTGAACACCGCTCACAAGAGACGATTGATGTTCAAAGAAGTTAAAACCAACAAAATCGGATATTGTTTGCGTTCAAGAGACTCATTTTAAGGAAGGTAAAGACTATAAAATTTATGACACAGTTATTCCCATCCCAATTCCATAGCACTTACAAATCTAGGGGTGCTTCTATTTTTTTTAGCAGGAATGTGGCCAACTCTACAGAAAAAGTAATGACGGATGATGACGGGAAATACATATTGTGGATTGGTAAAGTTAATAACGTTTGGTATACAATTGTTAATGTGTACTTTCCCAACACAGGTCAACTAACTTTTTTTAGGAAGATAATGGAACTGGTGAATGAGAATCTGAAAGGGACCTTGGTGATGTGTGGTGACATGAACTACGTTATGGATGGTGGTTTGGACAATGCGAGGGAAAATTTAAACCAACCTCACAGGAGAGATAGCGATAGACTAGCTGAGAAATGTTCGAAATATATGATTGAATGTGGATTGTATGACCCTTGGAGGCTAATGCATGAGAATGAGAGAGACTTTACTTTTTATTCGGTGTCCGAAAACATGTACTCCATGCTGGACAGGTTTCTGATACAGGGTGCTCTCATCCAACACATCTTAAGATTTGATATTTTAGATATCAATTGGTCCTACCATGCTCCCATTATTTTGCATATAGATGAAATGGTTTCTTCCTCCCCCAACAGACAATGGAAACTGAGTGATTATTTGTTAGATGATAATGAAAATAGATCGTTAGCGGAGGGTGTATTGAACAACTATTTCTTGGAAAATGTTCTCCTGAGGTTCCTGGGGAGGTGACTTGGAATGCGCACAAGGCTGTGTTGCGAGGCCACTTCATTTCTAGAGAGTCTCACCTGAAGAGGATAAACAATAGCAATTTAAGAAATATGGAAAAATAATTATTTAAGTTGAATCAAGCAAATAAATTTGGCCCATCCTCCTCTCTGTCAGCGATGATAGCAGAGATTAAATCAAAAATACATAAAATTAATTTGGATCGAACCACTCTCATGGTGAGACGCCTTAAGAAACTGTTTTATTTCAAAGGCAATAAAGCCTCATCACTTCTGGAATCCAAACTCCGGCATGTGAATGCCCAATCAAAGATAGCGTATTTAATAGACGACCAGGGACAAAAAATATTTCATCCAACTAAATTTAGCAATCAATTTGCCAAGTATTATAGTGAACTTTGAAATCTGATTCGAATCTCAACCAGCCGTCTGAGGCAACAATTAATAATTTTTTAGATAGGGTATCATTGCCTCGGCTGTCTTCTGACAATTTAAAAAAATTAGAGTGTTATATATCTGATGCAGAGGTAGCTGAAACAGTTAAACTTATGCCATCTGGAAAGGCCCCTGGTCCGGATGGATTCACCGTTTTATACTACAAGACCTTTTCAGAAACTTTAATTCCCCATGTGTCTAAATTATTTAAGTCCGGGGGGAAGATGCCGGGGGAGTCTTTGTGCGCACAGATTGTCACCTTGCCAAAACCAGGAAAAACTCCTGACAGATGCTCTAACTTTAGGCCCATATCCCTCATTAACAATGAATTTATTCTAAAATACTAGCAAATAGACTAGCTAAATTGATACCTTTGTTGATAAACAATGACCGGGTGGGGTTTGTTCAGGGTAGACAAGCACCTGAAGGAACGAGGAGGTTCATTAATTTAATTCAACATATCAACTCGACAAAAACTCCTTCTCTGCTACTTTCATTGGACGCAGAGAAGACGTTTGACAGGATACATTGGGGGTACCTATGGAATACACTGAGCAGATTCACTATACCACCATCTTTTATTACTGCGATTAAGGCACTTTATAGCGAACCCACAGCCCATGTATCGGCCTCGGGTTTCCATTCAAGAACCTTTTCTTTATTTAATGTGACACGTCAGGGCTGCCCTTTCATCTCCGGTTCTCTTCATTTTGGCGATGGAACCCCTGGCCGAATTAATTAGGACGACCCCAGAAATTGTAGGTATTAACATCAAGGGATCCACCCACAAAGTAGAATTATTTGCAGACGACGCCATTCTAGCACTCAAAAACCCAAAAGACTCCCTGAGGTCTCTTAATACTATCCTGCTTCAGTTGGGGGAAGTGCCATACTATAAGTTGAATGTATCTAAGACTCAGGGCCTCCCCTTCCACTTGAACAAACTTGACACAGACGAATTAAGATCATCATATCCATTTGATTGGATGAGGGAATACTTAGAGTATTTAGGAATTAATCTATGCAAAAATTTGCCTAATATGCATATTCACAACTTAAAGAGAGCATGGCCGGGCCTACAAAAAGAGATGAAGAGATGGGGTGGGATGGAGCTATCATGGTTAGGGAGAATCGCCTCCATAAAAATGTCTGTGACGAAGTGCCCTTCGCCACTTGTGCCTGGAGAGGACTGCTTGCCCGCCTCTTGCCCTGTGACTATGGACCCTGGGAGATTTGGCCCGTTCAATTCAGTATGATAGGAGTTATGTATTTTTGTATCCTTTTGTGTTTTACTGGGAACATGTGCTCAATGGAGTCTGCTTCTATCCCTGGATAATTGGATTACTTTCCCCATTGTCTCCAGGCTAGAGGGCTCTGTAAAACCAGTTTGGGCCAGATAGCCATGCTGCCAGCCAAGCCCCAAAAGATACTTTACTAACTTCTGAACCCCTGGTCTGATTCATGCCATTTTTTGATATGTTGTTTCCCTGAATGGATTGATTGTGAATATATAGTTTATGTGAATGTGATGTATATTTTAGAAGTTATGAATGCTGTAAAAACTGTATTATTTCTGGCCAGCAGATAATTGAGCTTTGTGTATTGTAGAAACTCAATTATCTAGCCTGGCCCAGAGGAGGAGTTTTGTGTTGCATAAATTGTGAGTTCTGTGTGCCAGTAAATCAGTCTTGTTCCAGCATTAAGCCTTGGCTCATGTTTGGGGGATTGGAGAAATACACTCTGGGGATTGCTATAATCACTATACTCCCCAGGGTATGATCACTAAGTTCTGCTAAGAGCTTGTTCCTGTTCTCTGGGGAAAGAGAGGTTCACCCACTGGAAGCTGGATCCTGGCCTTGGGTCCAGGGTGGGTGGAAACAGCAGAGACCCCGGCGCAGTTGCATCGCTGGAAGTGGGGTCTGCAGTGGTGATGGTGTCGGTTGGAGTGCTTGGAGTCCTCGGCAAGCGCTAGGAGCATCGATTGGCGGAGGTACTCAATTGGAGTGCCAGCGTTCCGTCACAATGTCAATCCTTCCAAAAATCTTGTACTATTTTAGAACTATCCCTTAATCCATCCCACTGACCTTCTTCAATAAAGTACACTATCTAATGCTAAAATTTATTTGGAATAACAAACCCAGTAGAATTAAGCTTACATCCCTGCAGCACCATAAACTTCATGGGGGTATTGGAGTCCCAAATATCCGAAAGTATTAATTTGCCACTAATGCTGCAGTGGCTGTAAGCTTTAACAGCCAAATAAATAGGCCAAGATGGATGGAGATAGAGGAATCCAACATTCTCCCATCCCAACTCAGGGAACTACCCTGGTTAAGCCCTGTAAGAAGGCCTGGAGTCACTAAATTGTTCTTGACAACTAAAACTACACATAAAGCCTGGGATATAGTATTTAAGAATAACTGCCGCTCAGTAAAATTGTATTGAGCCATGCCGATCGAATCTTTAAGATATTACATGCCATCTTTGGACTTAGAATTACTAAAGGGACACCACCTGTACAATGTAGATAACTTTTTCCATGGAAACTATTTTGTCGTATGAAAGGTTACAATTTCAGCATAGGTTGCCGAATGAATGTAAGGAAGAATGTGTGTTGGTAATTGAGAAGCTGAAAGAACTGTGCAACATACCAGACACTGATAAAAATTATAAATCTTTAGTAATATCGCCAATAGAAAAATTATTTTTGCATGACCCGAACATGAAGGGCACAATATCTACTTGTTATCTATTACACAATGCCAAACCAACAGTTAAATTGAAGCACATGCTGTCTTGGGAGACGGAGTTGGGTACCCAATATGAGTTGGAGGAGTGGTTTCGTTTTTTTTCAGTGTTGAAGGGAATTTCTTTTTGCTCTAACCACCATGAAAACCATCTTAAAATGTTGTATAGATGGTACCTATCTCCGTCCAGACTACATAATATGAACAACTTGTATTCCAACAGGTGCTGGAGAGATTGTGGAGGATTAGGAAATATGGCACACATTTGGTGGTACTGCCCAAGACTGT